CCCTAGTTATAGATTCTCCTCACACTGTCTACTCTGTTAAATCCCATATGTTTCTATAAGATCACCTCCAATTCTTCTATATTCTAGAGAATATAGGCCTAATTTACTCAACCTATCCTCATAGGTCAACCCTCATCCCAGGAACTAACCTAGTGAATCTACCCTGCACCCTCTCTAAGGCGAGTATGTCCTTTTTTAAATAAGGAGACCAAAACTGAAGACAATATTCTAGGTGCAGTCTCACCAAGGCCCGATACAGTTGCAGCAAGACTTCCCTACTCTTGTATTCTAACCCTTTTGCAATAAACGCCAACATGCTATTTGCCTTCCTAGTTGCTTGCTGTACCTGATTACTAACTTTTTGTGACTGGTGTACAAGGACACCCAAATCCCTCTGAACATCAACACTATCTGGTCATCTCCCCCTCTAGAAAATAATCTGTGTTTCTTTTTTTACTGCCTAGGTGAATAACTTCACACTTCTCCACATTATATTCCATCTGCCACCTTCTTGCCCACTCACCTAGCCTATCTATATCTCTGCAAACTTTTTGTGTCATCCTCAGAGCTTCCTCTCCCACCTAGCTTAGTATCATCCGTGAATTTAGATATTTTAAGTTCTATGTCCTCGTCTAGATCATTGATATAGATTGTAAATAGTTGAGGCCCAAGCACTGATCCTTGTGGCACTCCACTAGTCCCACTAGAACCCATTTATCCCTACTCTCTGTTTTCTTCCCGTTAGCCACTCTTCGATCCATGCTAATGCCTTTAATTCCATGGGCCCTAATCTTGTGTAGCAGCCTTTTATACGGCACCTTGTCGAATGCCTTCTGAAAATCTAAATACACTATATCAACTGCTTCCCCCTATCTAACCTGCTAGTTACATCCTCAAAAACTCTAAAAGATTTGTTAAGCATGACTTCCCTTTTGCAAAGCCATGTTGACTCTGCCTAATCATGTTATGGTCTTCTAAGTACCCCACTACGACGTCCCTAATTAAGGATTCTAGAATTTTCCCTACCACCGATGTCAGACTGACTGGTCTATAGATCTCCATCTTCTCTCTATCACCCTTCTTAAATAGTGGTGTTACGTTTGGGATCTTCCAATCAGTTCCAGAATCCAGAGAATTTTGGAAGATCATAAACAAGGCATCCACTATCTCAGCAGCCACCTCTTTTAAAACCCTAGGATGCAAGCCATCAGGTCCAGGGGATTTGTCATTTTTCAATCCCAACAGTTTCCCAAGTACTAATTCTTTACTGATGTTAATTTACCTAAGTTGCTCACTAACATTAGCTTCTTGGTTCCCCTCTATTTTTGGTAAGTTTTCAGTGTCTTCTAACGTGAAAACAGAAGCAAAGTATTTGTTTGATGACTCTGCCATATCTTTATCCACCATTATAATTCCTCCTGTCTCTGCCTGTAATGGACCCACATTCACTTCTGATAGTCTCTTCCTCTTTATGTATTTGTAAAAACTCTTGCAGTCTGTCTTTATGTTACCAGCTAGTTTGCCCTCATAATCCATTTTCTCCCTCCTAATCAGTTTCTTAGTTTTTCTTTGTTGGTCTCTGAAGCCTTCCCAATCCTCAGGTTTGCTGCTCTTTTTGGCAGCATTATAGGTCTCTTCTTTTAATTTTATACTTTCCCTAACTGCTCTCTGGATGCCATGGTTGAACCACTTTTCCTGTGGTATTTTTATTCCTCAAGGGAATATGTGATCGCTGGGAATTATGTACTACATCTTTAAAGGTTTGCCATTGCTGGTCTACTGTCATGTCCTTTAATCTAATTCCCCAGTCTATTTTAGCTAAATCCTCTCTCATACCTGCAAAGTTGGCTCTATTTAAATTTCAGACCCTTGCTTTGGACTGAACTACATCACTCTCTAACTTAATGCTAAATTCCATTATGTTATGGTCACTCTGCCCTGGAGGAGCCTTCATTTCCAGATTGCTGATTAGCCGTATTCATTGCACAAAACAAGATCTAAGATCGCCTGTTCCCTGGTTGGTTGTTCCTCAGCATACTGATCTAGAAAATATCTCTAATGCAAGGAAGGCGGGTCATGCTGGAGGTCAGTGCCTGCTGAGTGAAGAGAGAGCATCCTGGTTGTTAGTGTTTGAGGAAGTCACCCACCCAGAGGTAGGGTGAGACAACACAGTTTAAAAGTGAGATTGAGGATCTTGAACTCGATCTACTGGGGAATGGGAGTTGGGTGAGAATTTGGGTGGTTGGCTCACATTCATATGATGGCATTTGCATGGCTCGTGAAAAATGCAAAGTATAATAAAAAAAACACACGGAATACCAGTGCGGAGAGGATGGACCTTGTCAAGTTTTATGATCCATGACGTTTGGAGGTATTGCTTATAGGGCATTGGAATGAGCATTCTTTGGCCATCTGGCAAAGCAACAGATTTAACTTATTTATGGTTGCTGCAATTGAGCAATTTTGTGTTCCTTTCTCCCTCCTCCGTCCCTTCTAAAAGAAATTGCTCCTTTTATTTTCTTGTGCTGGGGTACAGTTTCATTGGCGCTAATCTCTTTTCTGGAACTCCCATATGTGGTCTGTATTCATGATTAAGCCTTGACAGTAAGTGATAGCAGGCAATTGATCAAGGTAGGGAGGGGGAATGCAACCAAGCCTGACCAGGGATTCAAACCTCTGTTTTAAGATCATTATAGCCTAACCTGTACCCTTATCCACTAAGATGTTGGGGAAACTTACCCATCGAGTCGATAGCTATAATTTATTACAAGGGCTTCTTTAATAATATCCTTGCATTTGATGTAGTGCCTTTGTGGAGTCCTGCAGCTCAGTGGTTAGAGCACTCGCTTTGCAAGCAAGAAACCTGAGTTCAATTCCAGGCAGGGCGAAACCTTGGGCAAGTTTCCTTACTCCACACGCCTAATAATAATCCCTCCAAAACAAAACAATAATAAATCGGTCATTTTCAATCTACGACTGTTTGTGGGACATTGCTGTGCGCAATTGGCTGCCGCGTTCGCCCACAAATATTTAGTCAATTCACTTTACAGTGTGTTCTGTGAAGCGCTTTGGGATGTCCTCCCGACGTGAAAAGCGCTATATCAAATGCAAGGATTATTATTATTTATTATTATCATGTCGTTGAGACTTCTCAAAGAGCTTCATAGGGTTTATTGTAAAAGTGGAGTGAATGTGTATTTTGTGGGCGAAACACAGCAGACAATTTCACACAACAGGGTCCCACAAACAATCATAGAGTGAGTCACCACCTTTTTTTCCAAATATTTCTTCAAGATTCAAGGCAGCGAAGAGACCCAGAATGCACTTTCATCTGGTATCGATTTATAAACCTGTGTTTTTACAGGTAGACATCGTCAGAGCTGCTTGATTAAATTACTGCCCGTGACTCGCTTCCAGCTTTTTTCTAACATTATTTTTCTCTCGTGGCACATCCATATTCAAAAACCAATGGAGCGGGGGTTAAATGCATGTTTTTGTCACTTCACGTTCATGTCAAACTTCTGTCATAGTTTAAGGTTTGCCCCCCCCACCAACCTTGCCTTCAAAATTCGTGAGCAGTTGAATCTTCAGACAGCTCTCGTAGAAGAGATCAAGAAATTCAGTGAAAATTAGGAGTTGGAAAACAATTTTTGTGGCCTGCAGGTCCAGTACAAGTAATAACGAGCATTTATATGATGTCTTTTGTGTAAGCGGTCAGAGTCCTTGATAAATGCAGCAGGCAGCAAAAGATTTGCAAATGGCAAGATCAAAGAGATCTTTTTGGATGTTTTTGAAGGCAGGGAGAGAGGTAGCAAAGTACAGTGATTTTGGAAGAGTTCTAGATGATGGGGAGCATGATTTACTGAAAACTAGGCCGCTGATGATAGAGTGAAGGACTTATGAAGCAAGCAGTAAAGAAGAGCCGACTGGGGACGTGTGGGCTGGAATGTAGAGCTGGAGAAGATTTCATAAGTACCATGCTGGGTAGAGCATTTACTCACTAATTGAATCATCAGGGGAGCTAAGAGCTTATGTTTACTAGTCACGTGTTGGCCCAATGACCAAAGCTCCATTTACAGTATACCTTTAAGTTGTGTTCATTAGTGGATTTACAGTCATCTAGTGCTATAAACAGTGTGAGGTAAACAAATCTGCTGTTGCCCTGAAGCAAACATTCCTATTTTGTATCCAGAATTCGAAACCATTCTGCAGTTATTTGATCTGCAAGTTAAAATTGTCGCAGAGAGAGTGTATGATGAAAGTCCTAATTTTGTGTATGTTGAATAAGTTTTCAAGGTTTGCCAGGTGACTTAAGTGAACAAGAATATTCAGTAAACCAGTGGAGTTGTAGTGAGCTTGATATATCTTTTTTGCTTTAGTTAATATTCATACTATAAAACCAAACACAAATGACTTTTCAAAAGTGAATGCTGTAATACTGCTTTTATTAAAAAAAACTCTTAACGCATGGCATACGTTCTCAACTCTATGAAAAACTATGGGATTAACCCGTGTTTTGCCTAGGAAGAAACTAAAATGGATTGACCGTGTATTTTGGGATTTTAAACATAGCCTAGTTTGCACACTAATGCAGTTGGTGCACTGCATTGTTGAATGTGCTGACCTTTAGATGAAATGTTAAACCGTGGACCTGCCTGCCTGTTCAGAACTTTAACAATCCTATAGCACTGCTCAAAAAGAGAAGGAAGTTTCTCCAGTGTCCTGGCCAAGAATGCCAAAGATAAAAATTGGTCATTCACTTCATGGTTGTTTTATGGGACATTTGTGTACACAAATTGCCTGTTGGCATTTCGCCTCCAAAATATACAGTCAGTTCACTTTACAGTATGTTCTGTGAAGCGCTTTGAGATGTGCTTTGTCAAATTTAAGGATTATTGATATTGTAATTATTCTTATCCCAGACCAAAAATTGTACCTCAAAAACTGGGTCTTTCACGTTAAGCTAGAAATATTTTTATTCATCATTTTGTTTTCCACAGATCCAAGCTTTTGTTGAAAGCCTGAAGCTCTCAGTCACCGATCAACAACTTCCTATGCTTATCCGTATAATTCAGCTTGGGATTGCCCTCTACTACGGTGAAATATGTTCCTACAAAGAAGAAGTAGAAGAAACAAGTTTGAATAACAAGGAAATGCCCATTACCCTCACTGGTAGGTAGAAAATATTCTCATTCGCTTTACTGGGAAAGACTTGCATTGGATTAGTCAATCTTTGAGGGCTTAGCGGCTTTAGCTCTAAAGGTTCAAAGCCTGTGAAAGTAATACTGTACCATTAATGTGTAACTTTTCATAGATCATGGCATTGTTACATAAAATCACTTTGACGCACAGTAGGACATTGTTTGAGATTGCCTGAACAGCAAATTTAAATTCTTGGCCAGTCGTTGCCAGTGGGGAGAGAGTGTAGAGGAGTTAATTTAACAGAGCCATAATGCATGTTTTAGCTGCTGATTGTAGAATAATACTGAAAGGGGCTTAGGAGCAGACTACCTGTTCTCTCTGGTACATGGGGAATTGTGCACAGTATGGGTGGGTAAGAGTAGTGAAGGGGGAGAGAACATTTTTCAAGAAGTGAGTGAGATTATAATGCGATACTTGTAAAAATCATGAACATAAATCTTCGAGACACAATTGACTTTGCAGCTTGAAAGGTTTGACACAGCTGTGGTTCAGATTGATGTGAAACATTTGTGCATCGAAATTTTACTGGGGAAGCAAGTTATAAAGAAGTTTTTTTTACATTGCTCCCTACCGCAACAAGACACCTCTTAAAGTGCTTCCCAAATAATAACAACAACAACTTGCATTTATATAGCGCCCTCCACGCTGGGCAGCGACCCAGTGCACTTAACAATGGTGGAGCCCGATGCCGAGCCATGGGGAGGGGGAAGGTGACCATAGGCACGGTTGAAGCGGAAGGTCTTCAAGTGCAACCTGGAAATGAGGAAAGGGGGCAAGAAGGAGAAGGAATTGAGGGAGGAAAATAATGACTGTCAAGTGTAGCAACTGTTTATGTCGACAAACATTTTGTACCAACAGGGTTCAACAATAAAGACAAAAAAATTAATTAATTTTTAATTAATATACAGAGGATTGTTTGCCAGGACAATGGGAGCAAATTCTCTTTTTCAATAGTGTCATGGGAACCTATGTGAACGGAGCTAATGCAACAACAATTTACACTTATATAGCGCCCTTCACATAGGCGCTATACAAATGCAAGTTGTTGTTATTTATTTTCACTCATGTCAATTGGAATTAATCCCATCAAAATTTAAAAACAAAAGAAAAAATATTTGGTCACTCAATCCACAACTGTTTGTGGGACACTGCTATGCACAATTAGCTGTTGTGTTTCTCCCACAAAACATATAGTCAACTCACTTTACAGTATTTTCTTTGTGACGTCTCGAAGACATGATAAGGTGCTATAGCAAATGCAAGGATTATTTTTATTCTCTTCAATACGACCAGGCAAATGGGGGGTCAGTTTATTGTCTCATCTGAAATTGAACGCTTCCAATAATGCAACATTTCCCCAGAATTACGCTAGAATGTCATCTTAGACTATGGGATAAAGTCCCAATGTAGGGTTTAAACCCCTGACCCTGTGATCCAGAGTTTCAAGTACTGCAAACTAAAACAAGTGATCAGTGTGGATGGATCTGGGTAATAAAGAGGAACCTTTCTGGGGGGGGTCTGTTGGGTGTCTGACACGTGCAATAGCCCATTACCACGGTTAAAAGTGTGCAAGTTCTGCATATAAGCCAGACTGGCAAGTCTTGTCATCAGCAATGACTTGGAGTACTGCAGGTCTGCTTGGTTTAGGAACGTGACTAACAAGAGCAACATCTCACCTTAGAGCCAGCTCAGTCCCAAGAAGACCCCACTCAACCCTCCCACCTTCCAGGAAAGCAGAGAACATTTTTAAGAAAGTTTTTAAATCTAAATAATGGAATGGCTATAGTAAATGCTCATTTTTTTTTATTTGGGATATGATGTACACAATTGCACTGTAGCTAGTGTGTCAGCCTGGCTCAGTGCGAGCACTCTTGCCTGAGTCAGAAGGTTGCAAGTTCCAGCCCCATGTCAGGACTTGGAATCACATAGTCTAATCTAATACTCCAGTGCAGTGCTGAGGTGTGTTGCATTGTCAGAGGTGCCATCCGTTGGATGAGATATTAAACTGAGGTCCTGTCTGCCTGCTCAGGTGGTAGTTTAAAATCCCATGGCACTATTCGAAAAAGAGAAAGGAGTTTCCCCGGTGTTCTGGCCAACAATCCCTCAAATCAAAAATTGGGCACTCGCTCTATGGCTGTTTGTGAGATATTGCTGTGCGCAACTGGCTGTCATGTTTCACCCCCACAATCAAAACCACTTTGCATTGTATCCTGTGAAGTGCTGTGAGTCGAGTCAATGACAGGATGAGTCGTTTATCAAATATAAGAATTATTATTATTATTACAGTTAAACTTTATTCTAGCTGTGCTTTTAAATAAACATCTTAAAGCCTAGCTAGGGCTTTGTTCCAGTCAGTTGAGCTGAATTTGATGAATAGAGAATCATACACCTCCTGCTGTATGATCGGTGGTTCATCAAATGTTGGGAGGCAGAGTCGTAAGCAAACTGGAAAAAGTAATTCCCAAACCAAATGAATGCACATTGTACCCCTGGCGGTGCGGACTCTTTGTATTCGGCAAGGTTTTATTTTCTCAGAGAGAAACTCAGAGAGAAAATAAAAATGTGAATGTTTTCTTTTCTTTTACTCTGCAGTACAGTGTTTCCTGTAATGACTCATTGAGCAACAGCAAAATGTGCCTCTGTAGCCCAGCAACAATCACCCAGGGATTGCACACTGTTGTAGTGCCGATAGAATTTGCTGGTGATAAATTAAAACATATCTCAACTGTGAAACATCATCTCCAGTTTGTAATAATGAAGTTTGACTGTATATAGGTAAACATCTGTTAAACATTATTATGTGAATTCTGTTAGGATATACCATACGCTTATAAGGTGTTTAATACGGTTTAAAAATAATTTGCAGTACAGACTTCACCGTTGTGTTTGGTTCACCTCTACACACCTGGTAAAACAATTCTCTGGAGCTATTTATTATTTGGAATGAAACAATAATTGCTGGACCTGGATGAAACTCGCAAATTCTAAATCTGTTGACAAAGAGGGAAAGTAATGTAACAATGCTCCCATCTTGCATTTGGGAAATGTATTTTCAAAGTTCTACCTTTTAACTTGTTGACCTAATGCTTAAAGGTGCTGAGTTTCCAGAAATTCTAATCCAATGACCTAAATTGGATGTAAACGTTGACCAGTGCCAGCCGCGGTACTGAAGCACTAGTTTCAGAAGTTTGTGGTAATTTATTGAGAGGAAAACCGGCTAGTGTGATCTGGAGAAAGCTGCCAGAAACGTAAGCAATTAGTGTTGGCTGGCATGAATAACATTCTTCATCCAGTGCCAGATGTGCAGTTTGTTGTCATGCCACTGCTATGTGGAACCGTGTCAGTGAATTAGGAGTCTATCAGAAAAATATACAAGTGGGATTAGTTGTTGGAGCAGGAATTCCAAATTGCCAGTGTGAATGCACATCTTGTGGAGTTCAGGCTTTCATCACTGTTGAAAAATAGCTTGCAGTTGCACATTACTGTTAATGTTAATTTTTTAAAGATTGCAGTGTTTTTTTAAAACAGAATGGGCTATTTTTTACTTTTACTGCAGAAACGACACCCTCTCATCTCCTTCCTTCCACTCCATCCCACCTGACCTACTTTTTGCCGACTTCCTTCAATTTGCTCCTTCCCATCCCATCTTGGACTTTGCTCCCAATCTGCCTTTCACGGGTATTTTAACTGAAGATCAGATCTGCCCAGTCTGCGGACCCATCAATGGCGATAGTTTCATCCACTGTAGTGTGCTGTATGCTTGAATTTTAACATTAGTGTAGTTGTTCAAGGTAGTAATATTAGTAACAATAGTCCTTGCATTTGATATAGTGCCTTATCACGTCGTTGAGACGTCTCAAAGCGCTTCACAGGATATAATGTTAAGTGGATTGACTGTATTCTGTGGGCGAAATGCGGCAGCCAATTGCACACAACAGCATCCCACAAACAGTGGTGGATGGAGTTTGAAGAGATTATTACCCCGGAAAGTGATCTGCCAATGCACTAACTACTGGGTTTCTACTTACAGCTTGGTAAACAGAGTGTGTGGAGTAAGGAAATTTGCCTAAGGTTTCCCCCTGCCCAGGAATCAAACCCGGGTCCTCTCTCTTGCAAGGCAAGCACGCTAACCACGACACTACGGGACAGCTGCTCTCATTTCACTGCCTCCTGTTTTGAGAAATGTTATCTCCTTTTTTTAACATCCTAAACTAATCTCCAATGTGGTGTTGATCTACTGCAGCTTGTTGCTGGTCTTTAAGGCTAGAATGTAGCTTTATTTCCTGACGATCAAGTTCAAATTAGCTATTATATGCACATTAGGCAGTTTGCACCTCATTGTGACTATTCCACCACCACAACAACAACAACAACAAGATTGCCTTCCTTTGCACATAAGCAATCAAATGTAGTTGATGGCCTCTGTGGGTTCAGGAGGCATTAGAAATGTGTCACAGAAATGAGGCTGAGATTCGAGCATCATTTGTGAGGAAGCCCAGATATTTCTTCCTGGTATCGAATTCACTGAGTGTACAACAACAACAACAACAAGATTCCATTTATAAAGTGCCTTTCACGTCAGGAGGACGTCCCAAGGCGCTGCACAGTTGGGTCATGACCCGAGCAGGGGGGAAATGGTCAGGGTGAGGTGAGGGAAGGGAAGGGAGGGAGCGAGGAGGGGGGAAATGGTCAGGGTGAGGGAAGGGAGGGAGCAAGGAGGGGGAAATGGTCAGGGTGAGGGGAGGGAAGGGAGGGAGCGAGGAGGGGGAAGAGAGTCGAGAGGGGAGCTGACGGCACGGTCAAAGAGAAAGGTTTTGAGACCGGCCTTGAAGGAGGAAAGGGAGGAAGCAAGGCGAAGGCACTGGGGGATGGAGTTCCAGAGCCTGGGGGCTGAGAGGCTGAAGGCCCGACCACCGATGGTAGGGCGGTTGGGGCGGGGGACGTGGAGCAGACCAGAGCCAGAGGAACGG